GTAAACCCGTTCTGTTGATGCTACAATCAAAAGCTTTCGAGCACACATCCTCCATGACATGATGTGATATTAAAATAAATTTGGTGAGTCTGTGACCTTGTTAACCTGTGCAGGTCAGGGGGGTGTAATTTTAACAGGTGTAAGGGTGTGAAAATTATACCCCCCCCATGTACTGTAAATCCGTTCTGTTGATGCTACAATCACATGCTTTTGAGCACACTTCCTCCATGACATGATGTGATAATAAAATTAATTTGGTGAGTCTGTGACCTCGTTAACCTGTGCAGGTCAGGGGGGTGTAGCACAGGTTAACAAGGAGAATGTATGCTCAAAAGCATTAACATAACATGTAAACCCATGTTATTGAAGCTACATAGCAATTATTATATGCACACAGCCTGTCTTTATAAAAGGCATAACATATAGTCTATTCATAACATAAGCTTAATGTAAATGAATGAATAAACAAAAAAAAAAAAAGATCCTAATAAGTACATACATGAGTAAATATATACAAATAAATAAAATAAAAAAAAGCTTTTTTTTTTTTACATATTTTTTTCAACAATTGTCACTGCTATAACAAGAATTTGGTAATAATTTTTATTTTATTTGTTTGATGTAATGACATATGCCACTTAAAAAGTGTGTTACATTGCAGACATTTATTTGCCTCGTTATATAGAGTGTTATTTGCATATATATGAATGCATATGCGAGAAACAAATGCGATTAACTATTATTATTCTTTATGACATTCATATGCAAGTTCAATGGGCAGAGACAGAGTAATACAGTGTTTACTCAAATCACGGAGTGAACTAATAAGAAATGACAACAGCAAATACGACCTGGATCTTCGTGCAGCAGGATAGTCAATGTAATGTGAATTTAACAGCTTTATTTTGCCAACTGGCAGCTTTATTCTTAACCCTGTGGAAGTCTCGACAGTTTACGGACTAATTAAATTTCTGCTTATTAATTTAAATGTCGACAACGCTTCCATGTAGGCTCATTGGTGCTTGCTGAGTGGAACATAGAAAAATATTCAGTAAAAAATGAAGAAAAGCCGGACGAAATGCATTTAAAGTCGCTGCGCTGCGTATTAATGTGTGAGGGCGCCTGCACGCGAGGGTGGTAAGATTTTCACGGGGGTCGGATTTCGGTACAACACCGGTAAACCGGAAGAACAACGCCATGGATCAAACAGATGAAACTTTATTAACGCGCCCGAAACTAATAAATAAAGAGAACAGTAGAAGTGAAATATGGCATTACTTTGCATACAAAACAGATGATAAAGGTGAATGAACTGACCACAGGAGGAGGTAACACATCAAATATAGTTAAGCATTTGTGTCGCTTGCTCATCCTGATCTTTTCCGAGAATTAAGAGATCGACAGGTTAGTGCATCATTCATAAATTCAGACTTAGTTTTTTTTTTTTACTTTTATTCACAACTGATCAACGCACACACATAAGATGTGATGCAGTAAACACGAAAGCTCAAACATGTGACGCTAGAACCAGTGACCAGTGAATTTTGGTCACATAATGTTTGCTCTTGCATTTCAAACAATCCAATATTAATTTAATTTGAATGAAACGAGTTGATTCAAATGAACAGTTTTGCTATATTTATGTTGGTATCAATAATATATGAAGGGCATGTTTCTGCCACATTGCCGACCGCTAACATGTCATGAAGCAGCCGAGAGGGAGAGAGAGAATTATATTTAAAGGGGTCATATGATGCGATTTCAATTTTTCCTTTCTCGTTGGAGTGTTACAAGCTCTTGATGCATAAAGAAGATCTGTAAAGTTGCAAAGACTAAAGTCTCAAATCCAAAGAGATATTCTTTATAAAAGTTGTCAACCACGCCTACCTAAAACAGCTCG